GTCAAATACAGATATCACCTGCTCACACGACGGGAAGAAAACCGCAGGGGTGAGCATCCAGAGCGTGAGCGCCGTACCCGCCTGGAACTTGGGTAGCGCAGAGGCAGCAGTTTCGAAGGAAGAGAGCAGCAGCAAATGTTCATAGCTTCCATGAGATCCAACGAGCACGACATGATGCTCCCGTGCTCAGGCCGAGATCGATCACCGGCGCGGGTCAAAAGAAGAAGATCGCGATCGAGGAAGCGTGACTTACAGGCGCGTGCCGTGCAGAGACGCATCTAGATGGCTGGTGGGCAACCAGTGCAGATTGTTGCCTCACGTGATCCAGTACCTTTATGGCCCATGGGAGTTGTAGTTTCACATAGAGTAGAAATTTGCATTGAGCCTTGCTGACTGAGGCGTCTCAGCACAGACGACCGCGAGGTGGCATGATGGCATGACATTGCATATTGCCAGAGCTTTCGACGCGTTTCAACTGTGTGTGCGCCTCACTTTTCCCCGAAACGATTCATAAACACAGGTGCACTGGCTTGAATTCTGAAGGCCCTTTGGCCCTTTGGCGCTCAAAGACGAACCAGAATGCCAGCAGGCGGCAGGCGTCCTGGGGGACAAAGCTGAGGCTGCGTTATCAGACCAGGCCGGACGAGCCAAAGCAGCAACAAGCACTGGCCCAGCAGATTGGAGGGTTAGCCCACAGCACACAGCCGCGCCTGCGCTGTCCCAAAAGGCAGCACATTGCCATGAGAAAAAAAGCAAAGCGCCAGGAAACGCACACTGCCCGTGTAGTGCAGTCCGCCTCTCTAAGGGCCTCAGCATCTCACAGCCATGGAGCTGACCCAGCTGCAGCGGAGGTTCGCGCAGGCGCGGCAAGTGTTCAAGCTAGGTGTTGGAGCTGCCGTGCGTGGCAACTTCTAGGAGTACGAGCCATCTGATTTCCACTTCCTAGGAGGCGTGAGTGTGTGTGTGTGTGTTTCATGTATGTGGGTCCGGTCGGATGAATCAGGTGGTTTGTTTGTCACACGTCCGCCTTTCTAAGCGAAGGTCGTAAAATCAAAATGATCTCATGAATGGCATCAACATTTTGATTGTAGCAAGTAGTCGTCAGCGCAGGACTTATATATTACGATGGCAGTTGTATTTGAATGCAGTTGCTTTGAAGGAGGCGGAGCAGCGGGAGGCGCTGCAGCGGGGGCTGCATCGCCTGCGGCGCAGCGCAGAGCTGTGCCGGGAGCGCCTGGCCACCGGCGAGCTGCGGCCTTTGGATGCCCTCCGGCCCCTGGAGCCCTTTGGCTGGAGATTTGAATTCAAAAGGAAAGGGCTAAGGCAACTGAGGGCTGTCACAGTCCAAGTTTGGGGTTGTTTGTGGCTTGGTCAAAGTCAGATTGAAGTCGCAAAACGCGCCAAAGTTGAGATCCCGAGAAGAAGCCACCCGCAGCCACTCTCAAGTGGCGAGATTTCAGCTTTGGCACTGGCTGCGAGTAGCTGTGTATGGCTGCGAGTGGTGTACAAACGGAGCTCTTTGCATAATACAACGTGTTCTGGCGTTCTGCTGGTGTCTGGAGTCACTGATGCTAACGATGCTGCCCATGGTAGCCGCGTGCAAGCTCCGCCAAGCGAGCGCTATGTAGAGGCAGCTCTTTACACGCAGGCATGGCGGAGGCAGGCCGTCACGGGCAGCATCGTTGGCATCATGGGCTCAACACACGTGACAGAGCGTTTATCTAGCGCTCAGCCACCCGCCTTGGTTGGCGAGATGGCTGCGCTTGGCTGCTCATGACTACATGTGTATGTTCGCCCGTGCAGCGCGCCCGTGAATGCTGTATGTTAGCGGCTGCGCTACGCAGCTCACAGCCGGCCGATTGTATACGCTTGTGCATAGCCACTCTTGGGTGGCTGCAGGTGGCTGTTTTCGATTTCGCGCACATGTGCACGCGCTTGGTTGTTTCCTTCCTCAATGGATCCCAGTGCCCTAGATCTCAACAGGGGCCGGTGCAGCAAGAGTGCGCCGGATTGGGGGCACAGAGTTAGGTTTCATGCCTGATTTGGTGTGTGTTTGTGGTTGTGTTTGTGTTTGCGCTTGTGTTTTTTGTTTTTGTTTTTAATCGTTTGTGTTTGCGTTTGTGCTTGTGCTTGTGTTTGTGTTTGTGTGTGTGGCTTTGTGTTTGTGTTTGTGCTTGTGTTTGTGTTTGTGCTTGTGCTTGTGTTTGTGTTTGTGTGTGTGTGTGGTTTTGTGTTTGTGTTTGTGCTTGTGCTTGTGTTTGTGTTTGTGCTTGTGTTTGTGTTTGTGTGAGTGGTTTTGTGTTTTGTGGTTGTGCTTGTGCTTGTGTGTGTGTGTGTGCTTGTGGTTGTGCTTGTGCTGGTGCTTGTGCTTGTGCTTGTGCTTGTGTTTGTGGTTGTGCTTGTGCTTGTGTTTGTGTTTGTGTTTGTGCTTGTGTTTGTGTTTGTGCTTGTGCTTGTGTTTGTGTTTGTGTTTGTGCTTGTGCTTGTGCTTGTGCTTGTGTTTGTGTGTGTGTTTGTTTCTTTGTGAGGGTGCGCGTGTTCGCGCGCATTTGTTTGTTTGTTTGTTTGTTTGTTTGTTTGTTTGTTTGTTTGTTTGCGTGCTTGCCTGGTTGTTTGTTTGTTTGCTTGTGTGCTTGCTTTCTTGCTTTCTTGCTTGCTTGCGTGTTGTTTGTTCTTTTCTGATTGTTGGTTTTGTTGTTTGTTTGTTACTTGTTTTTGTTTGTTTGCTGGTTTGCTTGTCCGTTCGTCAGTGAGTGAGTTAGTTAGTTTTTTTTTTGTGTGTGTGTGTGTGTGTGTTTGATTCTCTGTGTGCGTCTTTGCGTGTGTGTGTGTGTGTGTTAGTTTGTTTTTGCATGTGTGTGTGCGTGTCTGTGTGTGTGTGTGTGTCTGTGTGTGTGTGTGTCTGTGTGTGTCTGTGTGTGTCTGTGTGTGTGTCTGTGTGTCTGTGTCTGTGTGGGCGTGTGTGCGCTTGCGAGGTCCGAGGTATTGGAGCTGTGTCCAGGTCTGTTTGCGTGTTGCCATGTTTTGCTTGGGGCATTGTTATGTTGTCGTGGAGGGGTGGGGGAGGGGGGGAGGGGGCACAGTTCTTTTTCATCTGGCCTTGTTTCCTATCTTTGTTGCGGTTCCACTCGAACTGCGCAGGAAGTCCTAGTTTGCCTTTGGACAGGCCGAGATTCTAGGTTTGAAGGGGCTGCTCTGAATTGGGCTCGGATGGACACGCCATGCGGGAAGTCAGCTGCTTGCTCAATATCACATTAATGCTCTCGAATTCTCTAATGCTTCCACCTCACGCTTGCCAGTAGGAAGGCTAGCTGGGTAAGCGCAATGCGCACGGCCCGCTTTTTCTGCCAGCCCAGGTTGGACGTGCAAGAGGTGACTAGAAGCTGCTCAGCCGCGGCGCCGAGTTGGCAGGCATCGATGGTGGAACGGTGGCACGCGGTGGCACCATCCTAGATGTCAGAACCAGCTGATGACATGGGTGTAATGTAGGCTGTGCAACAGACGGGCCACCAGGCAGTTGCTACATTTCTTTTCAGCCACGTTCGCAGAAGAAGCTTGCCTCCTGCAGGCTGGCGCATCAGCTGGGAGCTATGAGCTGCTTCGAAACTCCTTGCAGGTAACCGTTCTGTGCATGCAAGCGCGCATGCTTGCTTACTCACAGTATTTGCACAGGTTGCTCTCCTTGTTTGCTCGCCAATGTTGTGTGGAATTTGTGTCACCCGCTTGTCACCCGATGCAAGATGGGTGCCACCCCTCAGGCAATCCAGCAGCAGTGTGAAGAGCAGAGTGCTTCGATGCTGCAGCAGACGCAGGTCAACGATTCATTGGAGCAGGCCTTGGCAGCCACCAAGGCAGGCGGATAGATATGTCGTGCCATTCTAAGTCTTATGCGCAAAGCCGGGGTTTTGGCTTGGGTGTGCAGCCTGTTGCAGGCGAGACTTGGCAAACAAAAAATCCAGAACGGTTCTGAAGAGACTTACCCTGAGGCCTCCAGCCGAAAGCTTGAAGGTGAACTGCAAGAGCAGGAGGAGAATCTTCAGAGATTGAGGCGTCAACATGCCACAGATGCGGTGCCTTTGCTGCATGTCTGTCGCATTTTCCATGCCCGCGCGCCGTCAGCTTGTTTTGTTTTTGGTTTTCAAATTGGCCTGCGGAGAATGGCACAGCTGCCCAGGAGAGGCTTCAAGAACTGCGGAGGAAATCCAAGTCAGAAGAACCTTGGCATGAACAGGGCATCTCAGCTCGCAAATCATCGCAGCTGCTTTTTCCTCCACGCTGAGGCAGAAGAGCGGGAAAGAGAAGCCTGTCACCGCCATGAGCAGGTCGGCGGCTTGGTCACAGCCCCAGGCAAGGTTGCTTCCACGTTGTGCAGGCTGCCAAAGAACTGGCAGAGACCCAGCGCAGAGAGCGAGAGCTCCTGACGTCGAAGCTGACAAAGATGCAGCGGGGTTTGGCCAGTGCAAAGGACAAGACCAGGAGCCTTCGACACGTGGCTCAATCAGTGCAATCCATCATCTCATTTTCGAGGCCACAAGGTCGGCGTCAGCTTGGAAGAAGGAAGCTGCCGCGGCGGAATGGTTGAGCTTTGAAGGGGCTTTGTCCTTGTCCTGATCTTAGGAGAAGCCCTCGACAAGACCAGCCTTTACGCAATGCAAAGAGAATTGCAAGCTGGACTTGGTTGCATCGAGCAAAAGGTCCTGGCAAATCTGTCATCCTATTTGCGACTTGGCGTCGTTTGTGCAGCTGCTTGGCACTGGGGCACGCTGGGAGACGTAAAGTGTTGCCACTCCCCGAGAAAGAGGCGGCTGATTAGTGCTTTGCTTCCGGGGCGTGGTTTTCTCCAACTTAACATGCCTGCCCCTCTCCGGCGCAGCGGAGGCCGCCTGGTGTCCAGGCCTGGTTTAGTTTTGAGGGATGCGGGGCAGCCAGTTGTTCTTGAACTTGGCGAGGCATAGTTGGTAGTTGTTTTCTCTTTTTTTACCCTCACGGTCCTCACGTGATAGTTGTGAATTTACTTCAGACAGTCTCCTGGCATGCACTGTTCTCGGGCTTCTCTAGGTTTGCTCCACAGGCTCAGTTGGAGTGTCACTGAATGGGTATGGGTTCTCGAATCAAGTTTGATGTCACATGGACTCCCGAAGCCGGAGACATAGAGATGCTCAGCTCTCTTTGCTCCCATGTAGACAGCGGAGCGCCCAGCACTCGCCCAGGCGATTGCAAAAAGCCAGGCAATCAGCAGCCGAAAAAGCCTCAATAGAGCTGGAGCTGCAGATAGCGTCGGAAGCTGAAAAGCAGCAACAGGACTCGGCGTTCATCATGTGCGACTTGTTTTTTTTTTAATTATATCATGAAGCAGGGCCGATCTGGCAACTGGTTTGCCTGGGCATGTGGCGAAAAGGCAAACAACGCACAACGGCAGGAAA